ATTTTTTTACAGATTAGTGGAAGCAGTCTCCAAGTCTGTTGGATCTGTTCCCACGCTATCTGCTGTGGTGTGTTTGTGGTCCCCGGGGTGTCCCCCAAGCTGTGAGTCACTGGCAGCAGCGGGCAGGCAAGGAGACTCCACACGGCTCCTGGGGTGCTCATTACATCAGGGTTTATTGGGGGTCCTACCCCCGGGAAACAGCATGGTTTCTGAGGGACTAGGGGGGAAGGGGGAGGGAGGGACACAAAAGGGAGGAGGAGAGAGGGAGACTATAGGGAGAAAAAGGGCCAAGAGAGAGCCTGGTCCCACCGGCACACTTAACAGGGAGATTCCAAGTGTGTGCAGAATAATATTTGGGCCAATGCGACTACAGACAGATGATACTTCAGGGGAGGATTACAGGCTTGGAATAAACCATACATTTTCAAAACAGAGCATACAATTTAACATTTTAGTAACACCATAGCTACCTACAATGATAGAGTCATGGTCTGTGAAAATGGCTCTCTTGCACTGTAAGAATGAAAACAGCACCATTATCAACAAAATCACTTGTGTATGTCAGATATGCATCTGAACTTTGAATGAGATATACATGCACAGCTACAAAAAACTGACACACCTTACAACTTGGTTACATCCCTAAATTCTTAATACAGAATTAGATAAAAAGTAGTATTTATAAACATTCAATATATTTTAACCTACATCTGTTATGGTCTTTCTCTATCATAGTCAAAAACCAAAGTGAAGTGCTATCTTAAGTCTGAAAAGCAAAGAAAAAGTAGAGTATGGGCATGCTTCTCAACATTTTCCTCTTTATTCTTCCATTTTATTTATCAAGATTTTTTTCCATTAAGACATCTACAGTATATGCTGTTCCTGGAACACTGTATGTATCACTAACCATATGCCTCCTGTAAACCATACAAATTCAGCCGTTCACTTAATTCATTAAAATTCACAAAGCCTATTATTCTGTTTACAGTCTAATAGATATTCACTGTCACTATTCAGGCCTCTGATTCAATTTGTTTAAATCTCAGATGCAGAGTAATCCTGATGGAGATTAGCTTAATTTATCACCAATTTCTTCTCAGAACCAAGAAAGGCTGATATTTCATAATAAAAGCTGTGTTTCTACTTTTTTTCATGGAGTAGCATGCCCAGTGAAGAAGAAGCAATAAATACCTAATTTTTTAATTGTGAGATTTTCTCAGTTACACAGATTTTGCTTTTCATATAGGACACCATCTTTTAAGGTGTCTATTCTACAGCTAAGAATACTGATTCTCTATCACAGTGGAACATGTTCCTGGAATCAAATACGATGCTGATTCTGACTGAACACAGATTGGCAGACTTATCATGTACTCCACACAATACAAAATAATCACTCTGGGTATACTTTTCTAGGTAAAGTGTTGACAGTTTGGAGTGTAATAAATGAAATATACTTATCTTTTGGCTCTCAAGTGTTCTCAGTGGGGAAAATTTTCTAGCAACTTGAAGTCATATTAAAGATGTCCACTTCCAAATCAAAACTGACAGTGCTGATTTATGTGATAATATCTGCTGTTGTTTGCAAAATGTCCCAGTGACTCACTGAAGAAATCTTTGTTTGGTCAAACGCTTCCAAATTGGCACAGTTGCATAAAATTTTCAAACATACAATTGCATAAAATTTTCAAAATAAACCAGTTTTCATCTGTATAGCATACCATAATTCTATTTCCACAAAAAGTTAGTCTGTTTCTGTCAATTATTGAGTTTCACAGTTGTCCATTATGTGCTTCTTTTTTCAGATAAAGAAACAAATGATCATTCTGCATCTGATCTTGGTACCCATCTGAAAAATTACTTTCTGCATATTCCAGGCCCGAAGACATTGGAGTACTAGTACTGCCAGGAAAATTGAATCCACAGGGTTTGAGAATATATTCAGCAACAGCAAAATTCTATGAAGAATATCTCTTGCTGTCTCACAGTAAATAGAGAATTCTGAGAGTCGCCTTCAAGGATTTCCTTCTATCTGAATAACTGACTGTGACTGAAAGTAAAAGAATGTAGCAATGTACTTGTGTTGCTCTTATGTTGTAAACCTCATAAAAAATAACTGAACATTTACCAAATACTTGTGCCTTCCAAGCTGCTTAATTATGTGTAATATTTTTGAAGATTTTTTTATAGATAAAGAGCAAATAGGAAATTATCTCTATACAGCCATCCTGAGAAGAACATATTACCTAGCAATGCTCTATTTTGAACCAACCCGGAACAGCTCAAGAGAAAAAGACAAGGATAGTAAATAACAAGAATTTGCCAAATAATAGGATTTTTTTAATGTGAATAGTCATTAATTACCAATTGTTTGCAACAGGAAAACGTTTTTTGTAGCATTCTCAGTTAGCACGGCCACTAAGAGGCAGTCTCAGCATCTCTAGCCTACAACCATGTAAACCTGTCCCTTTTCTGACCTTCTGTGGTACACAAAAGCTGGTGTTCTGGGCTTTCAGAAGGTTAATTGAATTCTCATGAACTAGCTCACAATCCACACAGATAATGTCTACAATGACATTTCAAAAACGGACTAGGGAGGAAGTTGCGTAAGGGCAGAAATGAGGAGTGAGGGTCACTCAGGGGTGTAACTTTTCAACAGAAGCATTAACTTACCTAAACCTGTATTTTGATCTACAGCCCAAGATAGCAGTGAGGAAATATGCCATGGCAAAACTTATGTCAATATTCAAGATAAACTGCAGAAAGGTAAGAGAGACCAATATATACCAGGATATAAGGTAAACTGATTGAATGGCAAGTAGAACTGGCAGAACTGGCAGAACACCACTTGGCCAAGCCAAGGTGAAATAAGTCCTCTGACACATGTGGCTGATGAACACAGATGTATGTCAAACAAGAGAGTGAGGGGGAAGTGCACCTAGCTTAAGCCCAGCTCTGAGTAGCCGAAATGAGGGCAGCTGTCTTAAGAGGGTGAGTGTTAGATCCCAACTTAGATCCATTAAGCTTGCCAAGTAAACTGCCATGGGTCTTGATTTTGGCAGTCAGTTTTATCAGATGGTTGTACTGGAGACCTATCAAGAACAATGCCAGAACACACCAGATGTGCTCTGTGCTGCAGAGGGTATCCTCAATGGAAGGCACACGAGTCCCAAATGACAGAGGTAGTATGGAAGGAAAGAAGTGCACTCAACTGATTTCAAAGCATTCAGCTGCCATCACCTATTTATTACCACCACAGCTGAATATAGATGCCTAATCAAAACAATCCTTCTCAAGGTCAGAAAAATTCTGATATTCTCATGCTCAGACAGGCATCATCATGGCAGATTAAAGTGAGTTTTGCTGATGTACAAATTGAATAGGACAGACGACACTACTGAGTCTTGGCTTACAAAAGCCTCTAACAGAAACATATGGTCAGTCAAAGTCTAGAGGAGGATAAAATTAGAACATGCTGGAAAACAGAATTCATGCAGGAATTCGGACAGTTTTGTAATAAACTAGTATGTTCTACTATGTTTTCAATAGAAATCCAGTCAAGCAGTCTAATAGCAATTTTTTAACTTTATCCAAAGGCTGTTTTCTGCATGAGTTCTCACAAGTACTACAAACACACAATAAAGAATATTTTGCTCTGGTTGCTGTGCTGCACATAACTGGTAGCTCCACCTGAGGAACTGACAGTACATGTTACAGAAAATCCTGAGCAATGGTACACCATAAAAATTGAATGCATGATTCAAAGAGAATTTATGGTGCTGAAGGAAGTGGAGTGGGATAAAGACATGAACTCCAGAAAACGCACCTGAAGTACTCTCCAAGCTACCTGATCTCTCTTCCAGGTAGTTTGCATTTTTCTGTAATAAAACTGCTTTATTTGGCCTAGTTGATATATTTACGGCCCTATTTTCATTATTAATTCTTAGTCTTGATACATACCATGGAAAATTTTTATCAGGATATGGATTTTGTGAAAATGTTTAATAATCAAGTTTAGTTCTGGTCATTACAGAACTCTAAAAAGCACCCACATTTTATGATTTATTTTTCAGATCAACTGCATGAGCTATTTTTAATTCATTTAACATAGTATTGATACTGTATAGGCTATTTTTAATCTGAATCTCTCTAAGTAGTAGGTCAGACATCCTAAACAAAAGGTATATTAAAACAAATAGTAACCTTTATCAACTGACTTGTACTACTCTCCAGAAAAAAAACAGATTTACTCAATATAGATCAATAGATCACTTTCCATAAAGGTACTCTAACAAGTATAAATGTACTCCCATGCTTTAATACTTTAATAATTTAATTTCTTATCAGTATTTTGTTCAGAAATGAGGTCAGATTAATGAACATAAAATACTGCCTTTTCTGAATATTGACTCAATATTATCATTCTTTTAGACTCTAGGCAATGTTGTAATATATACACACTAACTTTGAATACTTACTCAAAATGAGAAGCAGCAAGACATAGATTTCTTAACTAGCTCTATAAAGTGGTAAGATATAAAAATCCTCAATCCAAAAATCCTACTTCTTTCTAGAAAATGTTAAAAAAATCTTTTGGCTACTAATAGATTAAGGATGTTGCAGCATCTTCATAAGACATCAGCCTACTTCATTCCAGATACAAAATAGAAGCATTCATTTTATCATATTAATTTTATTTATTTAAAATTTTTATTCATTCTATCTTTATACAGTTACAGAGTTTTTTTATAATAGATTGCATCTGCCCTATAATAGCTACCTTAGTAGTAGTAGTACATATTTAAATCCTTGTTTGCTATAGTTCTTGGCCTTGCTAGCCAAAGATTTCCTCTTGACTTCTACAGCATCTTATCCATCTTTTATATTCCATTGTTTCTTCTATTTTCAGGTTATTATTTATAATCAATTTTCCACTTTGTTTATGTTGCCTTTTATTTCTAAATATTTTGTTCCCTTCCCTATCAAAATAAAATAAATATTTATCAGGAATTACCATCTAATTATGCAACAGTGCTTTTTTTGGTTACTTAATAAACTGTTACAGTCTACAATTTCTATTCATATTTCCTACTAGCCTATATATTCCTAATAACAGCTTTGGAAAAACGAACTGTTCTGAATTAACCTCTGAATTAAGCTCTGTTAGCTCCCTCTGAAAATCATTCTGCACAAAATACCGGAATCCTATCTCACATTCCAACAAAAATAAATCCAATAATCCCTTAAAGCATATTGGAAACAGCAACCTTCGTTTACAAGCATTCTTTCACCATTTTTGGAAACTATTACTAGATTCTACAATCTAATGATTTTAGCTCACTGTGTAAGTGTCCCAAATTGAGGTGACCACAGCAATGCAACATTTTATTACATTCCATTACAAATATGTGCTCAATTAGTAAGTCATCACATCCTCTACAGTGATCCACTGGTGTATATCAGATTTCTACGATAAACCTCTTCCCTAGGTTTTGTAACTTATTATCTTGACCCAAATAGATCCAGGATCCTGTGGTTATGTATAATTAATAACTTTAAAAGCAAGTAACACTGCCTGCTATAAACACTCACACTCTTCTCTGAAGTTTCCCCGTTCTCCCATTTATAGCTGTAACTAGCAGGAACTTAATTAGCAACTCAGAAATAATTTAATTGTTGTATGTTGAAAAAGAACTATATAATGTCACAAGAGACATTGAATGGGTAGAAAAAGTAACTGCATTCAATTTAAGAATGAGGAGAAAATTACAATTACACTCTAAAAAACAATTAAAGCTTATTAAGTGATCAGAATAGCAGACAAAGATTAGAGGATTATATAATTTTGTTAACCTGTTTAAGTGATAGATGAAAGTTGATCTCTATATAGCAAAAATAATTTGAATTACTGGAAATGGAGTGAGAATCAAGGTCAGGGGACAAAAATCTGACAGCTATCCAGAAGAAAAGAAATGAGGCAGACCAGACTTCAAAAGAAGAACTGTACTCTTCAAGAGGAAGGAGTACTGCTACTTATTACATTATCACAATACCTCATTACAACATCAGATATACAAGAGATATTTTAACAGGATTTACGTGATATAATGCACAATTCCACTGAATTGCTAAGAATTTTACTTTTTTACAGTGGTATATTGTTAATAAAATCTGATTTTAGCACGCAACTAAATAAAGTAGTCTACTTATAGACACTATCTTTGTTTTCAAAAAAATCGTTCTGCAGAAGAACAACAGTCAGCAAAACTGTTACTTGAAATATGCATTCATATTCTTTATATTCAGGCAAAAAGAATAGGTATTAGTAATAAATACCTATATTAGTAGTAAATTAGTAGTAAATTTATAGTAATAAATACCTACCTAAATAAATTATTATTTCATATTTACATTTTTTCACATCTAGTGTAACCATGAAAGTGCTAATGAATATTCATGGTAACTAACAACAAAGCTGTCATCTCATTCAACAATGAATGAAGTTATGATAATAGTTGCTAATAGTTGATCCTACTCAATATTTTTACTTCTGAGAACAGAAGATCTTTTACTTTCTCATTTTCTAATTTTTGAAAAAATTTTCATTATGGAACTACATAAAATATTGATAGTATGATTTTTTTATCTCCTTATTTCTGTAACTGCTACTTTCACTTTATTCAGTGAAAACATTCCAAAACTCATGGCAGTCTGAATGGAGACTGAATTGCTTCTCTCCATCATCAGTGACATAGGAGTACATAATTAAAAGCAACAGATAATACATTAGATTAATTCAGGTTTTTAAATATTTAGCCAAAAGTAACATGCAGCTGTGGAAAGAACACATATATTTTCCTCTTAGAGTAAGCATTCAGTATTAGAAGAAAATACATTTGCTCTTATGAAAATTGATAGTCTGTTCAAGAATAGGCAGCATATTTCTGAACGAATGGACATAATCATCAATGTTATACCTCTTTTTCAACAGTTACATCAAAAGGCAAAGAAAATATTAATCACTTTAATAATAAACTTTAAAAATAAAATATCTAGTTTTTTAAATAAAAGGCACTTTTTCATGAAAACCAATCATTATTTTCACCTCAGATAAGTTAACTTATGAATTATTTGAATTACTTGAATTTGGGATTCTAAAACATATCCAACATCATTACGTCTTTTTTCATAAGGAAATGTACATTAACTGAGCAACAGGACTGAACATGGGATGATTTCAGGCAAATGCTAAAGGTCTGAACACTGCTACATAGAGTGACTTTATATGCTGTCTTTTTCTGGTGCATCAAAATACCATGACTCTTTACTTTGAATGCTTCAGCCTTGCTCAAACATATCTGAAAGCAGCTCACTTCTACAGAAATCCAGGAGTAATAGAGAAGTAGCTGTTTCATGGGCTAATTAATAGTCTTCTTTGAAAGTTGGTATACAGCATATATACATATATTATATGCTACCTTAATAAAGTCACAAAATACTCTGAGTTGGAAAAGACCCACAAAGTTCATTGAAGTCCAGCTCCTGGCTCCACTCAGCAACATCCCCAAGTGTCACACCACGTGTTCAAGAGCCTTTCCTGAACTCTATCAGGCTGGTACTGTGACCACTTTCCTGGAAGGAATATAAGGAATTACTATTCTGCATACAGTTCTTAAAAATGCTTTCAATTTTACAACACAGAGGCTTCATTATATAGTATTTCTAAAACAACTAGCACATGCATATGGAAAATGCAGTAATTCACAGTAATCAATAGATACAAATTATTATATTAAATGTGTTGGGAATTTATTTGTTACAAAGTAATCTGATACACAACTAATCACTTTCTTTTGGGGCCAAGTGTATGTCAGCCATATGTAAAAAAATGAATAAAAATTATGGAAGTGTTTGAAAGTCTGGGAGAGAGGAAGTGATTCTTTCTTGTCATTCAGACCTGACACCAGAACACTACAGCAATTACAAACACTGTTCTGGAACAGGGAGTGCATCCAAGCCTTATTTAATCTTTTATATTTTGCTTTCAATGAAAAATACCTTTACTCAGGTAAACACTCAAAAGAAAATCAACATTCAAGCCTTCAGAAATGTCTTGAACTCAGTTCTATTTTGTCACTGGTAAGCAGCAGCAGTAGTTTCCAAAGCCTGTGTACTCTGTTTAGCCAAGCTATGTAGATGAGATGCAGCAGTTTCAAGCTCAGTCATAGCACATTCAGTCTCAACCATTTTTCTCTCTAGTTTAGCAATCTTGAGATCCTGAAACACATCCACAGAGACACAGCAGTGCTATGATAAAAGCTGATGGGGAGGTATGGTAGATTACAAACAAATGAACAAACAATCTCCCACATCGTAGCTGTCATCACATAATATTTCACTTGCAACATACAGAATGCAATTTCATGGCAAAAAAAAAAAAAATCATTTTCAGTCATTATGCCCATGTTTCAGTATATGCATTTCAGAAGTGTGACTGACTTACGTCAGAGAAACAGATTATTATTATTCTGCTATTTTCCCCCTTTCTGTACTGAAAATTTAAGATGATGACCTTGCAACTTTTCATTTGAAAGTAAGGTATGAAAATTCCACAGTGGAGTCATCAAAACTTTAATTATACCTTTCTCTCCAAATCATCTTTGGCTTTGTGATATATCTGCTCATACTGAGACTTCTCTTTCATAGCTAGATTAAACCTTTGTTTCATTGAGTCAGTGGAAGCTTTTTTGTCTTCAGCCAGAGACTTCACCTGAAATAATGAAAGGCCAAAAGCATTGACTAGCAAGAGAGAAAACTTCAAAATTTCAAGAAAATCAGAACTAAGCATACCTTTATTACATAAAAATACACAACTACATTACTGAAGTATCTTTTTCTGAAATTGGAGACTTTAATAAATCTCTAATGTTGATCCATTAGAGATTAGCTCACACACAATCTATTTAAATAAAGTTTTGACTAGCATTACATATAAAGAAATGCTCTTCATTTGCAGAGCTATTTGTTCAATATATAATTTAGACTCACAGTACTTGCAAAAGGGAGTAAATGACAATTTCCACTAATTTCTTTTGTCAGAGTTAAAAACATAAATTCAAACTCAGCTGAGAAAATAACTGTCTATATGTTAATAGTCTGTAAAGCTTCTTAGATAATGAATATCCATTGCAAACATTAGAACTGGGGTTAAAATGAAATAAACAAATGCTCCCAAAAATCGTTGAGCTTTCCTATAGTGCTAATCACATAGTTTTCCAGACAATATTGAGTAACAGGGAATTTCTTTGATCTTTTGCCGAAGATAATGTAAAATTTATCAAGCTGATTTTCCACATGGAATAATCAAAATAACATATAGAATATGATTCTTTGGAAATGAAGTGCTTCAAATACTCAAAGTACAGCAATAAAGCACATTATTCCACACTGCAACTTTTATCCAAAATCAAAACCAGGTATTTTTCTCAGGTCATACCTTAGCTCCCTCACTTAATGTTCTCACTTTCTAGCTGTGGATTTCTTAATAACACCTTATCTTTAGCATGGAGGGTTATACATTACCTCTCTTTGGAGCTGAAAATGCTGTATGACTGCAAGCAGGAATACTGCTTGTGTCACTCAGCAAGCACTTGCATTCTAGGCGAACAAAAACAAACTGGCAGGTTATTTCTATTTTGGGGTCATAAGCTACATAACCTGACAGACAACCAAACATCATGATCTTTTTCTGGCATTGAAGGCCAAAGTGCAGTGCATCAGTTGAACAACAGAAATATGCTAAACCATATACAAATTCTTTTACCTTCAGTGAAATAATTCTAAAATTTTGCAGGAGAAAATAATTTGCTATAGAAGTCAAGCACTACCTACACAGTTTAAGTTAAGAACTGTGAATCATTAATAACACTGTAGTATAAAATAGATTAACATATTAAAGCATTTAACTACTATAGCCAGGAGAGCTGCATGGACTTCATTAGCATATGTCATGTAAAATCGCCCTTGTTTCAGGTCTACTATATTTTATGATCTTACAGTGCATAAAACTAAATCCCACTACTTACAGCATATCCTTGCAACTGTGTTCTGAATACTTTAGTATTTAATTACACCTATAACAAAGATAAATTAAATTATGCTCAATCCATTCAAGCTATCACCATATACTGATTTCATACAAATTATAGTGGAGGGAATTACACCCTTCAATTAACTGTATGTTCTTTGCTTTAAGCAATATATTGATTTAATATGTATAGTGTGTTGAAATAACTTTGGTAAAACCACCAGCTTCTGCTTTTCTGAAAACTAGGAACAGCAATAAAGAAGTACCTTTCTCTCAAGACTGTCCAATGTTTCATTTGAGGTTTTTCTCATTTTCTTGATTTGCTTTCAGGCAAGACCTTAAGTCCTCTATCAAATGTCTTTTCATAATAACATCCCTCTCCAACTGAGAAATTCTGCAGGGGAAGAAGCTGGACTCCATATCACTGCTAGAAAATTTGGTTAATATGCAACTAAAAGGTATAAAGGCAGTAGACAATCTAGCATACCTGTAGCATTATAATACTTTCAAAAATGAAAGCTGATGCAGTTCTTGCAATTTACTTGGTTCTCAAGTACTAAACCCAGTTTCAGTCGCTTATTAAACAGACCTTTTTCTAAATATGCAATATATTTATGATTTGATTTTTGCTTGTCTGAACTGAAATCACAACAATTCTGAAACTATTATCAAAAAAGGGAAAACAAACCTGCTGAGCCCACAAAATTCAATTAATTAAGTTCCTTTGATGTCTTAAACAATCATTCAAACACTATTTTCTGCAAAATTATTTTCAAAAGAAAGTGAAATGGAGAAGCCTCCTTTCATCCAACTGAGTAATACACAGAAATAGTTAAACTCTATCCCTGTGTGTCAGATGAGATAAAATCCAAAACCTAGAAATAACATCAGCTTTTGTCAGATACTTCTCATGAAACGCCCAAAAGTCTCATATACTAAAAAGTAATCTTTGTTCAATGAGGAAATTATGCTTTATACAATACTTCCACTATTTTAACACAAATTAATAGTCTAAATAGAAACATAAGTAATACCTAAATATGTCCAGATATCTGGAATTTTTTTTCCAGTGAAAGCAAAATGAATGGCAGTGTATTCAGGAATACAACACTGCTAATACGATGTCAATATTGTATTTTTTAAAAACCCAGGAATACAATGCATCTAAACATTTCTTTGATCTATTTCCCCTTCATAACCTTACTGTCATTTTGGTTATTATGGTTATTTTGGTTATTATATCTTACAGTTTATAAAAAACTAGTATTTATTTTATAAAGAAAGCATGCTATCCAATTATTATTTTAAATTTGACATCTTATGGTGGAAAAATTCACTTTGAAACAGAAAATAAACAATCTATGATTTAAGCATTTTTAGGGCTCTCTATTTTTCAAATGAACTACTTTCAGATAAACAATTGAAGAATGCAACTTCTTCAATTAAAAATCAGAAGGGTTAAAGGAGTTAAAATCTTGGGCAGCCAAGAAATTCAGATACACAGAGCTTTTTTATAGTTGATATAGTAATATAAGTGAAGAACAGTATTATATCAGTTACAGTAGGTAGAATAAAAATATCAGTTGCATATTTGACAATTTTTGAAATTCAAAATGAATCACAGACGTGATTCAATTGAAATAGAAACAAATACAACTGTCCTTTTGAACTTTTTTATGAATATAAGACTAGCTATTTAATCTTATTTAAGCATCTGAACCTTGACATGTCTCTTAGCCCCTAGGCAAAGAATTACTGAATTTGAAAGACTGCGTTTAACAGTGCTGAGGAATTCATTTCGACTTACATCAAGGATACAATAAGCCGAGCTCCGACTTAAGGCACTCTTACTGCCATACAGATACTGCAGCCAGCTGCATCGGTTTGTAAAAACTGCAATTTAAGCATAAGCTGCTCCAGTTTCCAAGAGCGCCCGCGGCACCAGGCGAGCCGCGGTGAGGAGCGCGCGTCGCTCTCCGCGGCTCCGAACGGCCGCGCTGCGGCGCCGCCGCTGCCACTGGGTGGCGCCAGACTCAACGGAGAGACGCTGCATCCCGCGCCCGCGGCTCCCCGATCCGTTCTTCCTCCCGGACTGTGCTCTCAGTGACTTCGCGGTCTCAGCGCCCGAAATCTATCTTCAAAAAATATTAAAATATAAATAAAGTAGACAGAACGTGATCACAGCCTACAGTAAATTTTGAAAAAAATATTTTCTGAGTAAATTTCCATGTATTTTATGAAGGTTCTTAGGAATTAACTGGCACAAAAGGAGCATTCTTACTTTCTAGAAACACTTAAGCAGAAATACATTCCTTGGGAAATATGATGAAAATCAGTACATTTCCATTGTTCTAATAGTGTATGGTTACCTAACGTTTTCTGGGACACTTGCAAGCACCAATCAGACCACATTTTCACTTGCATAGCATGGTCAGAATAAAAGGTAAAAGAAGAGAAGTAAAACTGGATCTTCATTTGAACTATATCTTTGAATAGTATAGTTCTACAACACAGGGAGTCTACATCTGTACAACAAGAATATCCAATAATTACATTCATCTTGAGTATTAAGAAATATAAGACAATTTACAAGAGTGGTTATTTCTACGTCTCCTGAAATTCAAAGCCCAAGACAAAGACATTTCCATTTGTCTGTACTAACACAAATTCTACATTTCACTAACAGCCAGGTATGATCTTAATTTTCAGGCACATGTCATTCCAGTGAAGAACATTTATACAGTTGTTGGTCATTCCTCATTTGTATATAAGAAAAAAAAGTGCTTCCATTTTCCTCCAGGCAATTCCACATATCATCTAAACAAGATCTAAATTCAGAAAAACAGACTCATTCTACTGAAAAAAAAAAAAAATTAAAGAAATTTAACTAAGTAGCCATCTTAGCAATCTGAGCATATGCATTGAATGCCATTGATGAAATGGCTCAAATATATCACACAGTGGTATTTCAGAACTCCAGAAGGTATTGCTAAAACATACATGTTAAGCATATGGACAAGATATATATGTACCTATATGTATACAGATTTAGCTACTGTACTACAGCTTTTTACTCACTATGTATAAACAATAAGCAAACAGATCAGACATGCTGTAAACAATGATACTTCAGGAGATTTCTCTGCTTGGTGCAGACTTGTAATGCCTATTAACATTAATGGGAGTGTTGCACATAACTCTGCACCTCAAGGGGAGTATATATTCTTGTGTGCATAGTTAGATGTAAAATATTGTTCTTAATAACTTGTCTAGTCTATTTACTATTATTATAATGTGAGGTATAACCAGAAAATTGTTAAAATGATGTATGCTAGCAGAATATTCTTGAGTTTCCTGAGAGCTGTTTGTGGAGCTTGAGTTCCATTAGCGCAAAGCAGAGCACCCAGTTACATGGTTCACACACCAGACAAGAACTTGAGTACTTAGGTGGGCCTCTGCACACATTCAGAGGCAAAGACATATGCTTACAGTATTTTGCTTCCAAACTCACCACCCACACTTAACACATTTCTTCCTGTTGGCAAAGATACAAGGAGTCATCACATACAACGTAAACAAGCACTGCAAAGACAGTGCTCAGGAAAAAAACTAACCAACAAAGCCAGGTACTTGGACATTTTGTGCTATAAGGAAAGATTTGCTGCTTAGACATTCAGATATTCAGGAGAATAACTATGTGTCTCATCTTTAAGTTGGCTAGAAAGCCTGGAAGAATATTTGAAAACCCTTTATCAAGTTCTTCTGCTAAAAAATGACTCGCAGGACTTAAACCAGCCTTTAAAAAAGTTAAGAATTTTAGAAACTTGATTTAAGTAGTTTTTGAGCCCCAAATATTCAAAACTCTCATCCAATTCAGAAACCAGTGAATTTACTCTACTACTTAGCATTTTGGGGTCACAGACTATCTCCATCCTAAATATAGTTTAGCATACATTATTTATTTTTTCATTAAAAATTTAATATATCTTTAAGAAGGAATTAAAAGTCATGCTAGTATTTTTGATATCAGATTTATATATGCTTGCTAAATATTTCCTCTGCTGCAGAAACAAAAAAAAACTTTGATTTTTTAGCAATTTATTTTGCTGTTCACATTTGACAGACAAATAGAGTAGGTTTCTAGCATGGATGTTACTCTTAAGCTATTTAAAAAAATAAATCTCCATTTTTAATTTTTCCTACCATAGATCAATTGACTGCTAGGTTTCTGGATAATGAAGATACTCATCTAAAAGGTACAACCCTAATTAACAGCAACAGAAGCAAATTATTCAATCCCAAACCTAAAAACAACACTTAAGAAGACAGTGTGCATGGTTTTAAGACCTCTTTCTCATAATTAAAGCAGATCAATTTATGTGCCTTTTCATGGCTACTCCCTGCTGGCCTCATCTCTTTATCAATGTGACCTACCTTTACTAATCCCTGAATTTAGATGTTATGCATCCACTGTGCAATAGCCACGATCTGTAATACCATGATTACCATCAACAACTCAGAGGTCTGAGCATTACCCACATCTCATGTGCTAGCACAGCTAATCCGGCATTTAGAGTCAGCTATGTTGACCATGTAACACAGCCTTTTCTCCTAGCTGATCCTTTGGCAGACTTCTTGCTACTGTGGAGTTTCTTCTAGCAGCACGAAGCTGCACCATTTTGACCTTTTCTCTTTCCTCTACTATTTAACAGAAAACAATTGGAAAAAACTACTTGAAGACATACTGTAGCAAATATATTTCCTCCAGTGAGAAGAGAAGAAGAATTAATATGTTTGAGCCAGGCCACCTGCTGAGAAAGCTTTCAGAACAACACAGTCCAGTCTCTGCATCATTCACATGCAACAAAATCACTCGAGACTGAAAAGTGAAATCATCAACCAGTCAATATTTTCCTACCAGCTAATCTACAAAAATACAGAATAATAAAAATAGTCTCTCTGAAGACAAAGACAACACTGACACGCACAACACTGCTCCCCATTAGGTCAAATTATTTGCTTCACTATCACAGACAGCTATTGCTTTTCTCCTTCTTAAAAGAAGAAAGGAAACAACTGAATTCTCATCAAACTAATTTCACAGCCCCTTCCAACAAGATGTGCTTAATCATTCTGCGAAAGCCCAGCAAGGCTCCTTGTCTGGCCTATTTGATCAGCAGAAATTGTTTTAGAATTTTTAGTTCTGTCTATGACTACATTTCTACTTACCATCAAAGGCAACCTAACACCTAAGCTGCTAATCATTGCCTACAATATACAAATGATAGGCGTATGGGAGTATATGTATGTCTGCTTGACCCAGTTATGAACTACTGCTCATACAAATTATCCTCAGAACTAGATAATCTGTTCTGCCACCTTTAGTTTGCACTGCAATTGTTTAATCTCTAAATCAATGTCCTTTGAAGGAGTTAGTGTGGCTTTACTCTTGCCAGTAGTTTGAGATGGATGTTCTCGCAACTTTAATTTTCCTTCTACATCTTCCTTCTCCTGTGACCACTTGGTCAGGTTGGAGGTCAAAATTTGTTTTACAAAGAGAATAAACAATCACAATTTCACCCTAACAATATTTCTGCTTGATCATATGAGATGCTTCTCCAGATCAGCATTCAAGAGGAATAAAATTGTATATATTTCCTGTAATTACATTGCATAGCTGTTGGTTGAATTCTCTAGTACAGGCAAAGATCAAATCTGCCAGAAAAAATAAATCTACTACCACTGGAAACAAACAATTTTTTTAAGGCAAAATAATTCAATTTGGATTGAATATGTTGCAGTTTTAACTATGACAAACAAAAATTATCATACAAAACTGTAACAGCAGTTACAGTTGAAACATGTTTACCTAGAGCCTCCCTGGAATTCAGCATTTCTACACAGAATATGAAGAAATACCATGATGTCTCAGACACCAGTGTGAATTAAGGGTAGTTAAATGGCAAATCTGTTATAATGGTGACCACTGCAAGCTCCCTTGAGTTGCTATTTGACAACTGCTATAAAACATACACCCTTCTCTTGGCTTTTGTTATGATATTTGTAGGGCTTGTGGAGGTTAAAGCAAAGTGGACCAGCTGCACTAAACATCTCCTGGTTGGCTGTTCTTTACCTATGTGCTATTTCATCCCTTTCAGTATATGCACCATAGCCAGAGAACTGCACATTCCATAACCTTGACTCTAGGGCTGAAGTACTTAAGTGGTAAAAGACAAGCTGGAGCAGGACAGGATAACAGATGTTAGTTGTTTATTCCACTGGGTAGGTCTTACCACCCTATACCGCAGCCAAAATGCTTCTCACTTAGCAACATAAATGCTAAGTCCAATTAGCAGACGAGCCTTGTTAGGGATTTAGTTCAAATAAATATCATGCAAAGAAACTCTCAGTCTTGTTGCACTTGACTGACAAACAAGAAGACTTATTCAATCTTTGTACCAATATATTTCACATTACTCCTTTCAGAAGTAATGTTTTAAATAATTGGTTTCATTTAAATAATATTGAATGTTGTTCTGCAAAAAGGGGAACAGAAATAATCTCCATGCTAGTGATTAACTTTCACAAAACTGTAGTCAGCTGAAAGCCAACAATGGCCTAACAGCTCTCTGCTCCTTACAAGGCTTATTAAAATGCTGTCCTATTATTCCATGTAAGATTGTAATAGAGCAGCTTAACATAAGAAACAATTGTACAAAATGGAATTGAAATACCTCAAAATGCAAAAAAAAACCTGATGCAAAAAGCAAAAGAATCCTAATCAGAAGCATGAGAAGATACATGATGGCTTGAAATAACTAAATGTGTGCTTGATTATATGCTGATGCCAAATGAAATATCCAACAAAAATCAAAAACAAACACAAAGCCCCCCTGAAACTCAAAAAACATTAAAAAAAGCCAACCTAAAAGCAAACAAAAAAACCACAAAAAGGTGAAAATATTACTTTCTCAAGCAGTTTATAATTTAACTAACAAATTAGATTTTATACAGTTGAGATAATTAGAAAAAAATCATATATATATATATATGTGTTTATAAAAACATACACTCCCATGGCAATAATCTGAAGATCATATATACAGATAAAAGAGAGTCACATTAATTCCT